CTGGCGGCAGGCAGGGAGTGACGGACGGGAGGGGAGCGGAGAAAGGGGAGGCAAGTGGAGCGAGCGGCAAGAGAGCAGGGAAGGGAGGGGAGCGTGGGGACGGATGGGAGACAAGAGGAAGGATAAGAGGGGAGGGATTGAGGGATGCCGCAAACATGCCAACGGCTCGTTTTTTTGTTTGCGGAAGCGTTCGGAAAAACGCGGTATGAAATCCGCCGACCCCTTCTGGGTCTCCTGGCGCGCGGACTTGTTCCCCCCTCATATCCCCCCACCGGGACCCCAGACCAGCATTTCGACCCCCTTTCCCAGGCCGGGAACGACTCCCGGCCGAACTCACCCGGGGGGGGGTCTGGCCCTCCCAGGGCTCCCTCTGGAGCTCAAAAACACCCCCCGACGCCTCCAAAGACGGGCGACGTCTCGGTGCGGTCCGCTGGGTCGCCTGATTGGCTGCCGGCCCATCTCTCATGGAGGCGGCGCTTTCGTCAGCGTTTACGCGCGGGGCACGATCGTCGTGCGCTCCGATGTGGGACGGGATGTGCTTGAGCGCCTGGTCCGCCAGGCTGTCGCGCCCCTCAAATGCCCGCCCGGTAACTGCAGTCCAGGGTCTGAACCAAGCTTTTAGCCGCATTGGGCCAGCGTCACGAAGCAGCTGTTTCAGAGCCAGGGCCTCGCAGGCCACTGGGAGTTCTGGCGTAGCAAACGGCGGCCCTCGGCTGGCAAGCGAACCGACCTGAAGAGCTTTTCACTTTTCCGTTGAGTCCTCGGTCTGATCTTCTGACTTTACCATGTGCTGTTGACCCCGGGCAGCGTTGTTCGGCGTCAGCTGACTGAACGTGGAGCGCGGTCTGATACCCATTTGCGGTGCTGGACATGGCGACAAACTCCTCCGCTTGGTTAACCTGCATCACCTCGTACAGTTTATGGAAGACTTCCAGCCAGCCAATGACAATCATGCGCGCGGCGACCAACGCAGCGCTCGCGGACCTAACCGCACCGAAACCGCTGTCAAAAACCGTTTCCTTAAGACACGCGTCTTAGCTCGACTTGACATAGTTTATGGCCGGGCTCCCCGCCCACGCCATTCCGCCCCACAGTGATAGCACCGCGTCCAACTGGTCTTCGCTCATCTCCTTCTCGAAACGAGTACCGGAAATCGAGGCCACATGTTGCGGTGGACGTTGGAAGATTGGGGAAAATCGGTCGTGGTTCACGGAAGCATTGAATTCTAGGAAAACAGATCCTGTGCGCGGGTGGCTGCCCTAACCGAATCGTCGCGCCTATCCTGGCGCAGCTCCGTTAATGCGTCGTGGACGTTCCGGCTGGCTAGCTGGGCAAGAGGTGCCAGGCGTCGCCGTAGAACGGCAGCTCGTGTACTCCTTCACCAGGTCGGCAGTTAGCGCGTTGCTATATTATCCGAACTGTCTGCGTGGCGGCGTCGCATTCGTCGAGATGTTCGTTGGCGCGCGAAACAACTTGCGGGCCTCCTGATCGAGGTAGCCGAACCCAAAGGGCTTGTTCTACAAGTTTGGCCAGAACGGTTGTCTGTAGGCTCGTGACGCGCGTCGACAAAAAATATCCATGCTAGCCCATTGCCCTCGCTACGCGGTCACGCAGCGCGGTGGGAAAAAATATGGTTCGACGTTAGTCATCGCGCGGCCAAGCGCGGGACGCGACAGGATCACCATGCCACCCCGGCGCGGGGCAGCGCCCGAAAATCGAGGCGCAGCGGCTCCATTCTGGAGCCCGCGCGGCATCCAGGCGCGGCGGAAAACTCGCGCTTCTACCGAACTCGTCAACGAAACGGGCTGGGAAATATGTGTTCCCTCTCTAATCCTCGCGCTGCGCGTCCTGTGAGCGCCAAGCAAGCGTCGCTCCGGTGCGCCCGCCAAAGTGGCGCGAAACGGCCAGAGAACAAAGCGCTCATTTCGTCTCGGGTGGGGCGGGGGAAAATGCCATTCCACTCGATTCCTCGCGCAGCAACAGCGGTCATCGCGCCGGGAAATATGCCGTTCAATGCGACGCGGGCGGAACAAGGTTTAACAGAAAAACATTCCACCCGGCGCGTCGCGCGACAGCGCCGCCAACGTAAGTCGTGCCATTGCACTCGCCGCGCGCCAGTTAGCCTGAGAAACAAAACCACCCCACTCGACTCGGGGCCCACTCGCGAGAACTAGAACGTCTAGACTGCCGAGAAGGGAAGAGCGCCGCGGAGCGCGGGGAGAGGAGGAGAGGAGGAACGAGCGCGCGGATCCAGAAAATGGCCGTCGTCGCTCTCGCGGCCGCCCTTGACCTAGCGAGCTGGCGACCTGCCTCCTCGCGCGTTCTCGAGCGCATGCTTGACGTCGCTAGCGGGTAAAACTACTCGATGGCCAAGTAGGCGGTGATGACGCGGTCGCGAGACACGCTTGCCCGTCGACGCGCAGTCCTGCTCTTGCCCTTAAGCCGCAGCTCAAGCGCGCGTCGACGATCATTCGAATCATTTTCAGCCCGCCGCCGGCCAAAGGGGTCAGCCCACCCCCCCGCCTGGACTTGCGCCGCGACATAAGTAACGCCCGCCTGAGCCTTGACCCCCCCTGGAGATCGTCAACGCCCCCCGCGAGCTCCATCTTGCCCCCCCCAGACTCGAGCAGGCAACGGCCCGCGGCAATGGCCTCCCAGTCGATCGCCCCGCGCGCCTGCGCTGAATCAATTTAGCGGCTGGCGCGCGGATCACCCCTGCATGGTAAAACGCCTCGTCGCTTTCTTGGTCGCCCCGCTGTCTTGACCATTTCAGTCTGAGCGCCTGGAAGTCGACGGGCATCTCGGCTGGGGCCTGGCATCGATGTCAAGGCCGCGAATGGGTGCGCGGGGCGCCCGGCGGCGGCGCCGCGGCGTTGACGCCCTCCTAGCTGGGGAGGATGGCGCAGGAGCGTGGGAATTGAATGTCAACGCGTCGATTGGCTTGATCACAACGAGGCTGCAGTCACGAATCCCTGGCTGGCGCTAGATCACACTGGCCCGTCTCTCATCAAGCTGGCGCGCGTCTCGACTGCGTCTTGCAAATCTGCAGGCTCTGCGAGCGCATCGGCCGGCCGCCGTCGCGCCCCCCTCTCTCACTTCAGATTGCGACAAGACCTGGCACTGCCTCAACGCGCCAGGCTGCGCCGAGCCCACCTGCTTCTAGTCCCCCACTGGCGCAAATTTCGACTGCGAGGCTTCCTCGCGCGCAGATACGTCGCAATATGGCTTGCAGACCGAACCCCGTCGCTCCGCCGTCCACCGCTCCATCGTGCGCGGCCCTTCGCAAAGGTAATGATGGACCTGCCAGCTCTGCAACGGGGTGCTTCCTCGCGCGACCGCGCCGCCTGGGCGCATCGCGCGCTGCGAAGTCGAGAAGGAACAGCCCGAACCGCTATCTCGCGCGGGGCGCAACTGCCTTGGCATTCCATGAATCTCGGGATATTTACCTATGCTGAGTAGCCCAAACATCTGTCTCATGGTCGGCGCGGACACGCCCATGGCTAATGCTTTCGCGCGAGATTCCGCATGAGCTGCCCGGTACTTCGCGCGCAACCAACGCAGAATGCGCCCTCGCATCAGGGCGCGCCAGCGCAAATTTTTGGCGCATCGGCCCTGGGCATTTTTCGCACAACCTAGCAACGCTCGGACTGATCTCTGAAGGTGTCTGATCTCCTTCGCGCCGCGCGGCTGTTCGGGATCCGAGCGGGCTCGCCCTGCCAGCAAAGCGCTTCCTCTCCCAGCGGCCCCCCATCTCCTCCCCCGGGGGGGCGGGAAGGCGAGCGGCGCCCCCCAATCCGCGCCCCGCCCCCCCGCCCTCGACCCGAGCGAGAGGGTTCGCGACAGAGCGGGGCGCGCGGGAAGGCGCCGGCTTAAAGGCGCAGCGAATTGAAGCCACTTCGCTGGTCGAACTTCTCTAACGCGGCCCCCGCCCGGCGCCCGCGGCGCCTGGAACCGCCCCGGCGGGGGGCCCGAGAAGCGCGCGTGAGGCCCCGAGAGGGCCGCGAGAGGTCCCCGAGCGGCTCCCAATAGACCCCCGCTTCCTCCTCCTCCTCCTCCTCCCCCTCCTCTTCCTCCTCCTACTCCCCCCCCTCCTCCTCTTCCTCCTCCCCCTCCTCCTCCGCCCCCTCCTCCTCCGATTCCCCCCATTCAGGGCAACTCGCCTGGGCGTCATATCTGAATGGGCTGGCGGGGTTGCGCGAAGCGTCGAGATAAGAATTCGTGCCCGGGCGCGCCAACTCTACCTTTTGCACGTCGACCCCGGCCGCGTCTCCGGCCAACGTCGCCATGCCAACGATGATCTCTGCGTGCGCCTGAACTGCTTCGCGCCGCTCATCCCCCTGACTCCGCTCAGTCGTGCTGCCGGGGATTTGACATGACTGCCGCCCCGCCGCGCCCGGCCCCAGCCCCCAGCCCCCCCCCCGCCTTCGCTGCAAACCCCCCGCCGCCCCTTTCCTGGAACTACGAGTCGCAGCCGCGAACAATTTACCGAGGCCGTCTCGCCCGGAGCCTCGCCGCGCAACGCGGCGGCGCATGGCGCTGTTTCTGGCCCGCATGCCCCCCAGCCCTCGGCCGCCTCTGACCCGCCGCGCCACCCCGCGCGCTTGCCTCGCTCAGCGCGACGCGCCGTTCTGCTATGAAGCGAGCGCATGGCGCTGTTCTGTCCCGCGCATGTTGCGCTCGGCGCTGCTGCTGTTACTGAACGTACTTGTCCTTCCTTCGCGCTCCCTGCATGCAGCTGTCTCCGTCTCTATCTTTCTCATTGCTGCATGTTTTCGCGCGTGCTTCTGGAGGCTCACGCGCACTGCGGGCCCTTCAACATGTTTGGTTGCAGCGAGCGGTCATGCGCGATCATATATATATATATATATATATATATATATATATACATACATACATCCGCACACATACGCATACATGTATATATATATATATGTGCCTAATTGTGTATAGATGCGACATATGTGCTGAAAAGATTGGGCGCGCCGGCGGCTAATGATTGG